ACATCATTAGTACTGACACAACACATACTACTTACATACAACAACTAGCAAATGCCAACCCGGCCTATTGACATCTGTCAAAATATGTACTTCCATAAGCACGAGTTATTTACAGGACTTCAAACTGAAACTACAATCTAATAGTCGCACCAATGATGAAAAGGCTCATCGTCATCGACATCGGAATTGTAAATCATTTCATCTTCATCATTGTTATTGTCCACTAGCATCGTTCGGATACGTACGTCGTTTTCTGCCATAGTCGGTGCATCCCCTACAAATAGGAAACAAAATTTGAATTTGTACAATGATGCTAAAATGGAGACGTTAGAAAAATAAAACATCGTGTCCTCACATGAGCGACACTTCAGTCCCCTGCACGGCTTCGGCCCTAGCGGCCTCCTCCTTGGCCCTCCTCTAGAAAAATGCCTTCTCTCTCACACCCTCGTTCTCGAGCCAATCGTACCTCTCCTTGGTTTCTCGCCTAAACTTTAGCAAATCAGATTCGCCAAAGTACCATGAAAGAGGTCGACCATGCTCCTGAGCAAAGTCTGCGTCAATCCTCTCGCGAGTCTTCATCGATGGCAACGGGACTTTGTACCTTTTCCTAATATCTTTCTTCTTCTCCTCCGACAGCCATAGCTTCTTCTTTTTTTCAAGAGGCGAATGTACCTTCAGCCTCTCTACTACAGCTCCACGACCAGCGCAATCCTCCCATTTGCGTGCCCTTCCCTCCTAACCAGAATAAGGGAGTAAAGGCACCACCTTGGAGTTGCATGGGTCGACAACGCGATCAAGTGTCAAGGGACGCTTCAAATGGCACGTGTAGTAAGCATGACCGGCTGACTCCGATGCCTTGATTGCTTCACAAAGGCCGGTAGGCCACAGTCACATAAAGGTGTAGGTAATGCCGGTAGGAAAGGGCCAAATGCACAATGATCTTTCGGATAACCCAAACACAGTTTATGGCACCGAGCCACCATCGAACGTGCCAACCAAGTAGACAACGGATACAATTACAAACCATTTGAAAAATATACATGAACCCTAATGCAGCGTACAATACACATATGATTCAGGATTAGACAACACCCTACACATCACAAAAACTATGCATCTGATCCCAATATAGTAGGCATTGTTTTAGTTTTTCTAGTGCATAACTTTATCTATGCACCTGTGTCTAGAAAAGTTAGAATGACTTATAATTAGGAATATGGGGAGTGCACAATAATTGATATAATGACTCAGATTGTGATATGCAATAACAATCCTAACAACCCTTCTGTGGATGTACACATAGACTATACACTAAGTGACACCACATTTTTTTCTGCGATAATCCGATGTTGTCAGGAAAAAAACGATCATAACAACCTTACTGTGTTACTGTGTATGATACACATAGATTATACTCTAATTGATACTACAGAATAATTGATATAATCCAATGTTAGTCAGGAAAAAACGAACCTAAGAACCTTACTGTGGATGATATACAGAGATTCGCAAAGAAAAATATTATACTCTAATTACCTCGGAGGAACACAAATCCAGAATTTAACTACGAAACAGGACAAGCTTTCGAGACAGAATTACTCTAGAGCTGTATCAAATTATTACAGGCATGTTCCCTGTTCATGATTCAGAGAGAAGGCGCATCACTGGAAGGGTAAGACACCGTGATTAGCATGTCTGTCGCTGTATTGGTGTACTTAGTAGCAGGTGGTGGCATTCTAAAACCAACCAAAAAGAAGAAACAGAGCAATAGGATTCTGCTACAAAATGGAAGCAGTGCTTCTCAGTTCACATCTGAGGCCGGTTCCCAAGCATCTGACCGACCAAATTAGTCACCTGAAAAGAAAGACCCGAAAGATAGGGGTTAATATGGTGAGACACAAACCAGCAAACATCACATATCAAATGGGAGAATTATGGCCAGTATATCAACATGGGTAATCGGGCATAGGTGGAGCAGCAGGAAAACTATTGTGCTATGGAATAAGCAGAACTATAAATCTGCAAGTGGCACTGTTCCTTTAGATATATAAAGTGAAGATTACTGCATCAAGATCACCATGCTAAAGAAAAAACATAGATTGAGCATATCTCCAGGCATCTGCGGTCTGTGGATGGATATCACAAACTATTTTGTTCACAATAAGCAGGTGCTGAGGTACACTAGAAATACATCATTCTTTTCCAACCTAAAGTAGGAAAGACACCATCAAGGACAACTTTTTTTGACAAATTCAATCAGTGCACAGTCAAGTTATGATATACTCCATAGTCTAGGAATAAGCATAAAAATGAATCCGTAAAGGCCAAAGAGAAAGGGTATCAACAAACATGCCTGCCAATACTTTGAAACGCATCGATCAATGCAACTGTTCTCACCCATATTGAGCTCAGCTTCTTTATACCTGAAATAAAACGAAAAATCAGGAAAAAAATTCATAGTTCAATCTCACAGATAGAACCTTCTTGGCTATCAATTAACACGCCATGAGAAGTTCCAAGCTTGAGGTGTAATTATTGCAGCTTAGTTAAATTATTTGGTGATTATCCATATATAACATCATAGAGCGTTATTTGTTACAAGAAGTAAGGATGTGCCAACAGGACTATAAATAATAGATTTAAAAAAAAAAGCTGATCATATCTGTACCTTTTCTCAATGCACTTGTCGAAACAGGTCTGTGTAAGCCTGTATAAAGCATAAAGACACTGTCAGAACAAGCATAAATAAATCAAAAGAAACCTAAATGATTCAAGACCTGGATTGAGAGGAGTGATATAATATGAGTAGACATGTCCAACTGTTGAGTTGTTAATTAACATAAACAACACACATTTCAGACGCCCAGGAAAACCCTAAGGCTCTGTTTGGATTTAGATATTGAAGGCGTTGGCATTGAATTGGATACAATAACAAATCAGCCTGGTATTGGAAATGGCTTACAATGCCAAAGCTATTGTTTGGATGTACACAGAATTGACCCATCTTCTCTCCCCATCTCCACCGCACTACCAGACCCTTCCTGTAACTGCAGAGGGAGAAGGAGAGACCTCCGGAGCCTCGGGAAGAGGAACGCGGAGCTAGGGAAGAGGAGCGCCGGAGCTGGACCAGCAGAGGCGTCGGGCTTAGGGCGCACGCGGAGAGGGAGGCGTCGGGCTTGGGGTGCATGCAGAGAGGGAGGTGTCGAGCTTGGGGTGCACACGCAGAGGGAGGCGTCGGGGAAACTCGACCGTGGCCACAAGGGAGCTCGACCCCGGGCATGGATGCGCCTCCACAACTGCTCGCACATGCGGAGGAAGAAGGGGCGCCGAATACATAGGAAGAAGGGGGCGCCGGATGCGGAGGAAGGAGTCGCCGGCCATGGAGGAGCTCGAGCACGGTCACGTATGTGCGCATCTCCAATTCCCCCCAATACGGAGGGTCCGAGCTCTGTATTGCGGGCGACGGAAAGCAGGTGTAGCGAATACCTGTTTGGCATTGAAGTTGATTTCCAATTCCAAACTCTAAACCATCCAAACAGGGGCATTTGGTGCTATCCAATGCCAATGCCAATTCCAGAGCCTCAATGTCTACATCCAAACATAGCCTAAGATTACATTAAGGATTAGCATTTCAGATAAGAGGTCTTTGGAAGATTCAAGCCTAATTGTATCAGGACTTGCATGACTATTTAGGAAAAGCCACCACATTCACCTTTTCTTGGAACATATTCAATTCCTTCAGTTAGTTGGAAATGAGGAAACTAAAGATTGCATTATGAATTAGTAAAGCATCTATGCTGAGTGCTAACACCCATCTCTTTGCTGAATTAGCAATCTCCAATTGCAGCCAAAATGGTAGCCACCAACGGCCTACTTGTTACGAATTAATGATCTCATGGAAGCAAGATGCATGTCACTCACCTATTGAAAAGATCAACCCTGTACTCCATCTCCTTCTCCGCCATCCCAAACATCTGTACGGTGAACGGCGCACAGCACCAACCTTAGCAAGAGCAGCAAATCCAGAAACCGAAACCCGAAAAGGAGGATCAAGGTGCGCCAACCTACCTGCTCCTTCTCCAAGTTGGTCGGCCCGCCTTTCCCAGCCATTGCCGCACCTCTCCTACAAAGAACAGAGCGGACCAACATAATAGAATCTCAGAACAACACGTCAGGAGTGGAGCTGAGAAGCAACACGGGAAGCAGACCCTCACGGGGGAAGAGAACGAAGGGCGGGGATCTCGCGGGCGGCGCTGAAATTCGATGTCACGATGAGCAGCCGCGCCTTCGCCCCACTCGCCAAGTCTAGCTAGGGTTTTGCTCTCGCCTTCCTTGCCGGCGGCGGAGGAAGCAAACACAGACGAGAGCAGGCGCGCCTCCTCACATAGGCCGCACACCGAATGGGCCAGCTCACTGACAGAAGGGCCCACTTGTAAGCCCCCGCCTTATTTTGTGGCCCGCAAGCCAGCGTCGTCCTAAATCCTGATGGGCCTCGAGGCCCAAATGTGCTCACTTACAACTGGGGTCCACGAGTAATGCCAGAACGTTTTAGGTCATGTTTGGTTGAGTGTATGAAACATGGGAAAAAAATTTGTTGCATGGTGTGAAATGTGGAAAAAACTCGTGTGTAATGTGAAATATAGAAATTTGAAAATTTGTTTGGTTAAATAAATATAAAATATACATTTTATCTTTATCTCTCTTGAAACAACTATGGAAAAACTTTTTATTCCATCAATTTCAAAAAAGCTAAAGCCAAAAGCCAAAAAAGCGGATCCTTTCAAAAAATAACTTTCAAAAATAATGCTTCTAAAAAAGAAAAAAAAATACCTTTCGATTACTTTTTAGTTTTTGAGGCCAAAATCCAAAACCTTTGATTAGACTTTTAGTTTTTAAGGCCAAAATCCAAAACCAAAAGCGCAACAAACAGGACCTTAATCGTCTTCCTCCAAAATCCAAACCGCTCGCTTCTCACCGAAGACTCGAAGGGGCCATTAGCCATGAGCAGCTTGGCTTATCCGCTCTTCCGGCTCCCGTGCCGCTGCTCCCTCGCGGCGGCACCGGCGTCTCGGATACCCGCACCTGTGTGCCTATCTGCTTCGGCTTCCGCGGATGCAGAGGGCGAGCTGACGGCGCGGGAAAAGAGAGCGCAGCGTCGGGAGCGGCGGGAGCTGCGTGCGACGGACTGGAAGGAGGAGGTGCAGGACCGGCTGATCCACGAGCCGGCGCGGCGGAGGAAGAAGCCTCCTAAGCGGTCGTGGAGGGAGGATCTCAACCTCGACCTCCTCGCCGAGCTGGGGCCGCAGTGGTGGCTCGTGCGCGTCTCCATGGCGCCCGGCACCGACTACGTCGACCTCCTCACCAAGGCCATCTCACGACGCTACCCGGAAGTCACCTTCAAGGTATCACTTCCTCCTGTCGTTAGTTTTGTTGGCTTGATTGCGTCCGTGCCGCCCGAATTAAGCACTGCCCTGACGAGCATTTAATTTTTAGGCTGTCGCATCGTATTCATACAGATTATGTTATGAGCGTCGTATTCATACCGATTATGTTATGAGCAACATCACGTTGCAGCATTCTTGCGGCTTATATAATTTCGTACCTAACATGTGAATCTTAGATTACTAGGTTGAAAGAGATTGAGGATATATATATATATATATATATATAAACTGTGAAACTGTACTTATGTTCTTACAAACTTGTAACTGTGACTCTTTTACTTGGACAGTATAATCACTGTGACAAGAAAATCTACATTAAGATTACTGACTGTCAATGCTTAATTGTAGCAAGACTTGGATTAAGGGATCTAGTACGAATCTGAATGCTGACAATGAAGTTCTCCTGATTACCGTTCCTCATAGCCTTATAGGAAATGGTTTAGTACTAGTCCATCTGAATGACTTCACTAGTTCACATGCATACCATTTTCTTTTCAGCATTTTATTTCTCACAAAAGTTACCTGCAGATTTACAATCCATCCATCCAAGTAAAGAGGAGATTGAAAAGTGGTGCAATCAGTGTTAAATCCAAGCCTCTGCATCCTGGGTTGGTCTTTCTGCATTGTACCTTAAACAAGGAGCTTCATGACTTCATCAGAGACACAGAGGGTTGTTATGGCTTTATTGGAGCTACAGTTGGTTCAATGTGAGTACCTCACTCAGTTCTTTCCATTCCTTCACTTTTGCTCCTCTTTTGTTGACACGTTGTTTTATTGGCATTGTTATGATTCTTGTTTTTAGGTGGCTATTTTCATATTCGTTTTTTGGATTATCCAGTAGTACTTGACCTTAGACAGCATCTCATCCTGTAAATATTTTGAAGAAAGACTTGAAACCATAGCGGTTTCTATGGATATGTGTAATGTAACTATGTCCAAATAAAATATATGCTATCCTTCAACATACTTCTCCAATGACCAGGATATTCTTTGGCCAGAACAACGATGACCACAGTATTTTGTCTAACATAATTGTAACAAAGGCCTTGTTTAGATTGGGGTTAGGAATCAATATTTGGCACTGTAGCACTTTCGTTTGTATTTGACAATTATTGTCCAATCATGGCCTAACTAGGCTCAAAAGATTCGTCTCGTAATTTACAATCAAACTGTGTAATTAGTTATTTTTTGTATCTACATTTAATACTCCATGCATGTGTCCAAAGATTTGATGTGATGGAGAGAGAGTGAAAAAACTTGCAATCTAAACAAGGCCAAAGGCATGTGAAGTATCCTAATCACGACATTTATATACTGCTAGTACATTAATACTGTATGTCTATAGCAGATCATATCTCTTTATCTCTTCTGTGATCACTGATCAGTGATCAGTTATTCAGTTTTTCTGATTTGCACTTCTTTTACCTGTCTTACTATGAAGCAAGAGGCAGATTAAAAAGCCAAAACCTATTCCAATTGATGAAGTTGAATCAATTATTAGAGAAGAGAAGGAGGAACAAGAGAGAGTTGACAGAGAATTTGAGGAAATGGAGAATATGGGAAATGTTGAACCTTTCAGTAAACCTGTTGAAGAATCTGAACTTATGTTAATGAATAAGATCAAGAAGCAGTTTAAGAAATCATCCTCAAATGGTGGCACTAGACACAGTGCTTTTTCGCCTGGTGCAACTGTTCATGTTCTCTCTGGGCCTTTTGAAGACTTCACTGGTTCCATCCTGGAAGTGAATCGCAAAAACAAGAAGGTTGGGCTGATTACAAATTTATCTTAGTGAACTAGTTGTACGATTATTTTGCAATACCTTTTCTTCTGGTATTGTTTGGTTTTCTAAGAAGTGTTACCTCTCACAGGCCACTGTCCAGTTGATACTTTTTGGGAAAGAGAGCTTTGTGGATCTTGATTTTGATCAAATTGAGGCAATTGAAGTGGATGCCAATGATAGTAAACTATGAGGTCTGAAAACGCCTCTAAATCCTCGAGTTTGACTTTGGCAAGCATGCTATGGTAGTAGGCTAACAAAAGAAACGATAGATCTAGAGCATGTTTTTTTTTCACCTGTTAGCCAAAGATTGTATAGTAGAACATGCTGTCACTATTATTGCACTCTCTGATTTGTGCTCCGCCATTATGATATAAGTAATTTTTCCGTTGTTTGACAAAATTCAGGATTCCATCACATATCAAATTGTTTCTGTTTAGGAGATTATCTGAGCTCCTCCATACTTTAGATGCAGCAGAGGAAATTTTCGAATTTGTGGCTTTCTGCTACAGTGTCTCTCTTTATGCTTAATAACTGAACAGGCATCTTGTGTTTATGTATCACAGTACCGATAACTTTTATCGACAACTCCAGATCTCCAGCTGGGCCTGAGTGAATGAAGCAGGAACTTCAGTGGGTGGACAGTGGACCGTTGAAGACCCAATTATCAGCAAGAGAAACAGTTAGCACATCTGCACATGAGCTGCCGTCAAAATTAACCAGTAAGTTCTGAGTTCACTAGCATGTGTTCTATAACCTTATTCCATTGAAATTGATTTCCACTGTTCTTATTTTCTATTTATCAGGGGTTACTGAAATGCAATTTATAAACAATGAGGATGCTGAAGTTGAGATATCTCACTGACTTCCACTAGGCTGTTCACATTTTGCTCGAATGCAGAAAGAAATATTTCAATTTTGTCAGTCCCTTAGGCCATTCATTTCATACTTCATCTTTCTGTATTCATTTATAAATAAGTTAAAATCGAAATAGAAATTCGAATTTGTCTGAGATTGTTTTTCCTTGAGTACTTGGATTGGATCACCAGCCACTTTTCAATTATGCACTGTGCATGCAGCGACCCGGGGCTTCGTTGAATCGTTGGGGCGTTGGCTTGCTTCGGTTCCTGAACTATGGCAGACGAGACAGAGATGGCTTTGTGGAAAGATACCCAGCTTAATTGTTTGTGCCAAAAGCTTTCGATTAGGAACAAGACAATCTTCCTCCTTTTGCTTTTCGCTTTCCGGGCAGCTTCCACAGATCTGCCCTCAAGACAAGTAAAATCATGTTTAGATTGAAAGTTTTTTCAACGCGATAAATAGTAGTAAAATGTTCAGACAAAATATGCATTCCCTTCATTTAATACTTTATACCCGAACTGCTCTGAAAAAAACTTGAAATGGCAAGGCCAAAATATGCATTCCCTTCACCCGAACTGCTCTATCATGGCCATAATTGCAATAATTTTCAGACAGATTACGTGCTTGCCATGTCAACATCCTGAAAATGTCCCCTATCCCCTGCTCCTGCAACTGCAAGGGGAGAATTGTACATTTGTACTCTAGCAGCCAGCGCCAGAGCAGCAAGCACAGTCACCATGACTTTTTTTTTTTTGAAGAATCAGTCACCATGAGAATGCCCTTTGATGAGGAGGGCAGAGATGTGGTCCTGGAGGCTGGAACGCGCTCTGCACTGGAGTGCCACTGCAAGTCTGCAGCTGCCCCTCACTACAAAGTCAAAAATCTCCATGGCTGCATCTTACTATGATCAAATCATGAACAGGTGATGATTACCAAACGACGATGATACGAGAATTCAATTCAAAGTCCTCTTAAACATGGGCAATTACTTTATTTCAGAGATAACGGCAATCTAGATTAACCATCAGAAGTAAAAAAAAAATCTACGGAGTCACCAGTACAGCGCTTCTACCACTACGACTGTTCTTCACCAATGAGATGGTGAGATGCAGCAGCTACTCCAGCTCCAGCTCCAGCAGGGCGCATTGGCACCCCCCAACAACTCTGTCGGAGGAGGGTGATCCGTGGACCGTGGCGCCGCGCCATGCATCGGTCTGTCACGGTCGGCCACCACGCGGCACCAGGTAGACCCGGGCGCGCACGACGGCGCCGTTCCCCAGCCGGAACCCGGGCGCGACCGCGAACCCGACGACCATGCCGGCGCCGGCGTGCGGGGGCGCGCCGGTCACGCTCTCCATGTACTCCTGGTGGAACTCCGCGCCGCGGCCGGCCTCGAAGTGGCTGGGCGGCGGCTCCAGCGCGAAGGCCAACAGGTGCAGCAACCACACGGCCTTGGCCGCGCGCAGGAACTCCCCGTAGAAGGGCGTCCGCGGGTGCGCGCCGGCGTTGACCACCCTCCGGTGCTCGCCGTCGCCCAGGACGACCTCCTCCACGCGGGGCGGCAGGAGCGCCGTGAACTTGGCGGCGGCGTAGTGGCCGAATGCGCAGGTCGGGAGCACGCCCAGCAGCTCCGCGGGCTCCATCCCGCGCATGTCGCGGAACTGCACGTACCGCTCCCGCCGGAACGCGGCGGGGTCCAGCAGCGACGAGAGGGAGCCGTCCAGGTAGAAGGACTCGTGCTCGAAGCCGCCGAGGAGGGCGCGCGTGACGTGCGCCTCCAGCGCGTGCTTGGCCAGCTGCGGGGAGGACACCGGGATCTTGGTGAGCGATCGAGTGGCCGCCGCGAGCTCCAGCCCCGCGGCGCGCATCAGGTGCGCGAGGTGCCCCGCGAACGCCCGCGTCGCCGCGCGGGCCTGCTCGGCACAGGAGGTGAACAGCTCCGCCGTCGGCGCACCGCCGGGGCCGTTCTGCTTGGAGAGCGGGTGGTGGTGGTGGCGCCCGTTACGGCGGCTGGTGGCCGCCGCGAGCTTCTCCTTGAGCCCGTCCACCTCGGCCTGCTTGGATTGGAGCTGGCGCTGGAGGTCGTCGAGCGCCGCCTCGTACGGCGCCACGGCCTCGCGGAGGGGCGGCGCGGAAGGGTTCGGGCGCGGGATGTGGCCCGCGGCGGCGGAGCGGCGGAAGCGGTCGCGGAGGCGCGCGAGGTGGCGGAGCTCGGCGACGACGGCCGCGTCCGCGGCGCGCATCTTGTCGGGGTCCCAGGGGCAGTGCGCGCCCTGGAGCGCGGCGTAGGCGCGGCGCACCCCGGAGACGGCGTCGAACACCTCCGCCATCAGCGCGTCCGCGTCGCGGGCGCGCTCGGCGCCCTTGGCCGCGGCGGCCAGCCTCTCCTTCTCCTGCTCCCCCTCCTCCCAGATCTTGAGCTTCTCCTCCTCCTCCTCCCCTCCTCTTCCTCGATTTCCTCCGCCTCCGCAGCGGACGTGGACCGCCGGCATTTCTCGCTGCTGGAGACGGCGTCGGCGAAGGGGTCGTCGTCGTCGTCCAGGTCGCTGTCGACGGAGTCGCGGAGGGTGTAGTTGCAGGGCAGGCGGTTGGAGAGGCAGGAGGAGGCGACGCGGTGGATGAGGTCGCCGACGGTGACCGGCTTGGTCGCCATTCCTCGGCGCTGCGACCGAGCCTTCCCCTGCGGGCTGCGGCCGGCCAAGCTGCTTGCTTTGGAGTGGGGGTGTGTGATCGGCGTGGGAGTGGGAGCGGGGCGGAAAAGATGCCCTGTGGAACGCAGTGTCGGGTAGAACAAGACAAAAGGCACTGAGCTATAACATGCACCATCAATTCTCGTCCGAATTAAAAATGCTTGCTAATCCTCATAAAACGTACTACAGTGCTAGTTTAACCAGAGATCTTTCTTTTAGGCTCTGTTTGATAGTAGGAGAAGCCAGAACCCGCTTCACCTGCGCAATGAAAAAGGGCTTATATGGTAATTCGTTTATGAAGTCTATTCCCGTAGATTAATTTAACAGGGCCTTTTATCATAAGTTATGGAGAAGTCAAAGCTAAAGCTGCTCAAAAACCCGGATCCTAACTAATTGCCGTGTTTTCACGTTTCACGACCTTTGGAATAAAATAAAACGTACAGTAATTTACCGACGTACAATCTCCACTTGTATCATGGTGCGAGCCAACTCAAGTTTGTCACAACCGGAAGCGATGTGCAATGACTTCTAGCAAGGACGTGCTGTAGCATTGTACGTAGCTCTGACTTCCAGATTCTTTAGTTTTTTTTTTTTTTTGCGACGGATTCTTTAGCATTATGCTAGCCCGCATCTACGGTTACGCACGTGGTCTTGTGTCAGATGCTCTACAATTTGGGGTCCTCCATCATTCGCAGACGGCGACCGTGCGTTGCAATCGCTTGGCTCTCTGATCGCCATTATCAGGTGCCTATTATCACCCGCCTACAATACAATTGTTCATGAAATCGTTGCAAAATTTACTGGTCGGACAACGGCAGGTAAATCTGCCATCTGATCACGATTCAGAAGTTCAGGGTCGTCGTATCTCCTATGCTCGCGGTCACCGCGATCTCGTGGAGAGTTGGGGGCTATAATCGAAGACTAGAGCAGCGGCCTCGAACTTGTTCTAAGTTCTCGTTTAGATTTGGTACTTCTAAATTACATATTCAACTCTCTAAACTTATTCTGAGTTTTTATCCACGTCTTCGTACTTTTAAATTGTGCATTTAGCTTTCTAAATTTGTCATAAGTTCTTAGGTCCGGTACTTTCAAAATACACGCTCAGTTCCCTAAAGACATATATATTGTAGCATCATGAACCATCACCTTCTCTGTACTACGTTATATGTGCCCACCCCACTCGTGCGGCCACATTGTGTTTTTTCACCCATAGTGGTGTATTTGCAAGGGGACGAGGCGTGTGGTGGGATCTCTCAAGAGACGTGCAGACCTAGCTTCCTATGACCATGTCGCTTGGGCGCTCTTGTCGTGTTTGCTCTACCACACGTCCTAACCGAGCCTCACCGCCGCCGTGGCCCTCCTCAATTCCACTTGATCACTCTTGCTCCAACTCATCGTGGCGTTGACAGCCGCCTCATCGCCACCACCGCACTCCTCCCCATTGAGTGGGAGTTCATGCTCATTCTCTATATTTTCTTGCACTCAGTTTCCCACTATCACAACCTTGGCAATGGCAAGGCCGTTGTTGCAACGGAGTGGGTGAGTGTAACTTACGGCATGGCGGCACTGTTCGTTTCGCTGAAATATGGCTTATGCTGCTACTTATGCTGATTTATTGTGAGAGGAAAACAATATTCGTTCA